TGGTGGCGCATGCCTGTAGTCCCAGCTACTCGGGAGGCTGAGGCAGGAGGATTGCTTGAGCCCAGGAGTTTGAGGTTGCTGTGAGCTAGGATGATGCCATGGCACTCTAGCCCAGGCAACACAGTGAGACTCTGTCTCAAAAAAAAAAAAATGGCAATGTCAGTAAATTTTATGTTATGTATATTTTGCTACAAGTTTTTAAAAAGTGTTTTTTGTATGCTGAGGACTTGGGCCATGCAGTACCCGTTTGATTAGAGGGTTCATGCTCAGTATGTGATTTGTGGTGAACAATTTTATTGCTCTGGGGCCCGGGGGTCCGAGTAGTTAAGTTCAGCCATGTAGGTGCTGCGTGCCTACGTGGCCGACCTCCAGTACAAACCCGGGACATCGAGGCTCAGGTGAGCTTCCCAGGTTGACAACACTCTAGGTGTGTTGTCGCAGGTCATTGCTTGGAAAATGACCCGCATCTGTGTGGCTCCACCAGGAGAGGACGCCTGGAAGCTTGCACCCGGTTTCTCCTGGACTTCCTCCCACGTGCCTTTTCCCTTTGCTGGTTTTAATCTATATCCTTTGCTGTATTCATAACCACGAGCATAACATTCCTTCCGAGTCCTGTCAGTTTTTTTTTCTTTTTAGCAAATAATCACAGCTAAGGGTGGTCTTGAGGACCCCTGGCACAATGTGGACCATAGAGAAACACAAAAGTGAGCACAGGGAGTGAGAGAATGAGACCCACGTTGGGCGGATATAGCAACATTGCTTTTTCTTCCCCTTGATGATTTAACACAATTAAATCAGTTCACTTCTAGCTCCTGTTATACACTCCACGTGAGAGATCCCTGCTCACAGTCACTCAGAAACCCATGGTGACAGAGGCGCCACCACTTTTTGGCTGAACCACTGGGGGCTCTATTACCTTCTCATCACCCTGGAGGACCCCACATGGGCTTTTTTGTGACTTATCCCAGAAAGTAGCATTGCTGTCAGTAACCCTTAACCGGAAACAATCCAGATACCCATTATAATTGTAGCACCAATAAGTAAATTGTAATTTAGTCACGCAGGGGAATATTACACAGCAATGAAAATGAACGAGCTAAGGCCATGCTCAACTCATAGGTGAACTTCACAAATGCAATCATGAACAAAAGAAGAATTTTACGTTTTAATCCCCATTTTAGCTTCTCTACTGCCCTGTTTATGTAAGAGGAGAAGTCAGAGATTTCCACCGAGTGTTGTTCTGTGGAGGTGTGCCACCTCCAACCCTGCGAGGAGGGGGTGTGATCCAGGACATCTTGGGTGCAAACACCCAACTCACATCATTGGTGAATCCTCCGGTCCCGCCTCCAGGATACAGGTCCAGTCTGACCTCCTACCACCTCTGCTGCTACCCGAATCCCAGCCACCACCGTCTCTTTGTGAGTCTACTCTTGTTGTACCAATGTCCATTCTCTACCTGGGAGCCACGGGGACCTCCTAATGACGTAAACATGCAAATCCTCCATTGCTTCCTACGGCAATTAGAATGAAATCTAAGTTCCTTTAGACTTAGGAGGATTTAACACATCCTCCTTGCTCCCATCTCCCCAGTCTCATCTCTTCGCACTTCCCCCTCACTTAACTCTGCTCCGACCACACTTCTTTCTGGGACGTGCCGTATTTGTTCTCTCTTTAGGGCGTTTACACACATATGCACATTTCTTCTTGGGATCCTCTTCCTCGAGATGTTTTTCTTTTCTTTTTTTTGAGACAGAGTCTTACTCTGTTGCCCGGGCTAGAGTGCCGTGGTGTCATCCTAGCTCACAGCAACCTCACACTCCTGGGCTCAAGCGATCCTCCTGCCTCAGCCTCCTCAGTAGCTGGGACTACAAGCATGCGCCACCATGCCCGGCTAATTTTTTCTATATAGTTTTAGTTGTCCAGCTAATTTCTTTCTATTTTTAGTAGAGACGGGGTCTCGCTCTTGCTCAGGCTGGTCTCAAACTCCTGAGCTCAAACGATCTTCCCACCGTGGCCTCCCAGAATGCTAGGATTACAGGCGTGAGCCACTGTGCCCGGCCGAGATGTTTTTCATAATGAAAAGTTGTTTTTTATTTTTTTTTTAAATTGAGATAAAACTCACATAACATAAAATTCACCATCCTCTAATTACAATTTAGTGACACTTAGTACAGATGGTCTCTTATTTAAGGATAGTTTGACTTATGATTTTCCCACATTATGATGGGTTTGTTGGGGTGTAACTCCACCATAAATTGGGGAGTATCAGCATGATCACCCCCATCTCGTTGCAAAACATTTTCATCACCCCAAAATGCCCGTTAAGAAGTCACTCCCCAATCTTTCTTCCCCACCCCCTAGCAAACACTAATCTACTTTCTGTCTCTATGGATTTACCTATTTTGGACATTTCATATGAATGGAATAAAACACTGTGTGGCCCTTTGTGTCTGGCTTCTCTCACTCAACATGAAGTTTTCGAGATTCATCCATGTGGTAGCACCATTGACTTTTTTCCCCCCTGGAGACAGGATCTTTGCTCTGTTGCCCAGGCTGGAGTGTGCTGGCGTGATCATAGCTCACTGCAGCCTTGAACTTCTGGGCTCAAGCAGCCTCCCAAGTAGCTGGGACTACAGGCGTGTGCCACCATTTGGCTATTTAAAAATTTGTTTTGTAGAGATGGGGTCTTGCTGTGTTGTTCAGGCTGGACTCGAACTTCTGACCTCAAGCGATTTTCTCACCTCGGCCTCCCAAAGTGCTGGGACTATAGGCGTGAGCCACCATGCCTGGCCACCACTGACTCTTTTTTTTTTTTTCCACTTTCCCAAACTTTATTAAGGAAAAAAGCAGTGGTGGTAAATCTCTAGAACATTGTCAATTTTCTGGGGATTCCTCCCTTGAAAATGTGACATTTGATTTCCAAACACATGCCCGAGTGTACATGGTTCCCAACTGTACTAAGTAGATGAGAAGCTGAAATCTCAGTGTTCATCTTCCAACTTTCCCCAGTCTGTGGTCTGTCTTTGGATCAACAATAATTGCCTGAATAGCTACTATGGCTTCATTAATTTTTGTCTGTAGCTCTCTGAGCTCTTCTATATGCAGCCATCGTAGAATTTGAGCAGCTTCATTAAGAACTGCATCTCCTGTGTCAAAACCAAGAATATGTTTGTCTAAAGCAACAGGCAAGCCCTCTTTTGTTTGATTTGCTTCAGCAACTGCATCCTGTGTCAGGCGCTCCTGAACCAAAATGCGAATTGCCTTAAGCATTACCAGGTAATCATCATGACGCTGAATCTGAAGGAGGTTAGCCAAAGCCATCACACCAGCCTTAAAATCAGGATTATTTACATCTAAATTGATCAATGGCTCTGCATTTTTACTTGCACTGTCAGCATTTTTTGCGTTATCAGGTACTAAGTCCTTGTATTTTTCAGCATTATCTCCATATTCAAGTCTAACAGCTAAACCAAGAAGCCAGTCAGTTGCTTCTTGTCGATCTTGAATCTTGAAAGGACAGTTAACATCTCTGAGATACTTTTCAAAGAACTTAGGCCAGTCACTGCTGTGGATGTTTCTTAAATTACCTCTGTCTTCAATCTTGTAGTGTCTGATTTTCTGGTCTTCTAGCTGAACAATAAAGTTTCTAAATTCTGTTTCATCCTTCCATTGTTGGTCCTAGATTTCACTGTGTACTATCTAGATCTCAAACTGTTTCGTGCGTTTTGACTGCCCCTCCACCCAGACCCCTTAGCTCCTGGCAGGCAGTGAACTAGTCTTCAAGTTACTCAGCACCTTCCTCAGAATCCAGCACCATGCTGGCCCATAATAGCAGGTGTTTAAGGTATCGTCCAATTACACGGAGTTGAAGGGTAAGAGCAAGGTTTTCCCTTTTGTGTGCTGAGGAGATAGTGTGTGGGTGGGGCGGTGGGGCGGTGGGTGATAGTGGTGTATGGAGTTAAGCAAGTGCAGAAAGTGGAGATGCTGAGGCTGGAGTGGGTGAGGGGGCTCCGAAGCCGGGGGCACGGCCGGGGAGGGGAGGGTGGCTGCAGAGAGCCGAGGTGCTTGGCGGCCCGGAGGATAGGGGCCCAGAGGACCCCTGGGCGCACCTCCACTGACTCTTAATATGGATGTTTCTCAACTTACAATGGGTCACGTACTAATAAACCCTGACAGACCCATCCTAAAGTTGAAAAATAATTGTAATTTGAGCCATTGTAAGTTGGAGACCAACTGTATTCAGATTTCAGCTTGAATATTTAATTTGTACAGAGGACTCCTTTGGATCACTCTATCTAAAGTAGACTTCCTTCCATAATTACTCATCACTAGCTCTTTTTAAGTTTCCTTATAGCACTTATTACCACCTCGTAGGGGCTCAGAAAACTTTCGCTGGAGGAACAAAACATTTACATCGTACCTGGGTGGTGAAGGTCATGAGTACAGCGAAACTAGACAGGTGGCTGCAATTACATATGGTGTGACTTCCGTTCACTTGTATCAGGAAACAGCCATCTCTGGACCAGTGGCCACCCTGCTCTGTGCTCTTCCAGTAGACACAGAAGGCCTTTTTAATACTGGGATCCATCTGAAAACAGAATGGGCTCATCATCTTTTTTTTTCCACAGAAAGCATTTTTATTGAGCACCTATTACGTACAACTCTGACTCTGTTCCTAGTGCTGGTGGTACAATAGAAGACAAAACAGACAAAAATCCCTGAACTCACAGAGCTCCTGGAGCTCACTGTCTCTCTACTTCCTCAGTAGGAACAATTTTCGGTGTTGGGTCTATGCCAGGGCGCCACGTGCCCAGGCCCCTGGGTGAGGAGTGACTCAAGCGATTTCTATTCTAAGTGATCGCCAGGATCCCTACCCCATAACCGCTACTTTATTGGGATTGTACATGATGTACAATAAAGCCAGTGCTCTCTGAAAGCTAGAGTTTTATAAGATTTCATTGGGTTCAGGACCTTGCCCCGGATTATTGGAGTCAAAAGGAGGGAGGATCGCTTGAGCTCAGGGGTTCGAGACCAGCCTGAGCAAGAGCAAGACCCCGTCTCTACTAAAAATAGAAAGAAATTGGCCAAACAACTAAAAATAGAAAAAATTAGCCGGGCATGGTGGCACATGTCTGTAGTCCCGGCTACCCGGGAGGCTGACGCAGGAGGATCGCTTGAGCCCAGGAGTTTGAGGTTGTTGTGAGCTAGGCTGATGCCACGGCACTCTAGCCTGGGCAACAGAGTGAGACCCTGTCTCAAAAAACAAACAAACAAACAAACAAAAACCTCGAGGAAGTCTGAGGCTCACATAACGTTTTCTCTAAAACTCTCTCTAAACCGAATTTCCCCGGTCCCTTCTCATCAATTCTGTTCCCTAGCACCGTATTACAACACAATACTTGCTAATGTGACAAGAGGAGTGGTGTACAGGAAAGAAACGTCACAAGGAGAGAGGACAAAATTAGCCTTTAATCTCTTCTCTTTGTCTCAAGGGCTTTCAGAGCCTGGCTTCGCGGGGCCAAGGAGGAGGGTCGCATGCTCTCTGGTTTGGGGGCTGTATCTTCTTTGATGATCTGGTTATCTCCAGACTTCTTGCCCTGTTCTCCCTTCCTCCTAATACATCAGAAGTCCATACCTAGATTTTATGCACCAGATAGAGAAAACCTACATTTTCCTGCCTTTCCCCCTTTAACTGTTTTTTTTTTTTTTTTTTTTT